TGGTTGGTACCCCCTCAAACCCGCTGTTTGGCGGCTCTCGTCTCCCTTCTATGATGTGATTTGTGGTTGTGCCCGCGGCCCGGCCCCTACTGCAGCAGCAGCGACGGGCGGGGGTCGGTCAACCGAGAACCGGGATCATACATATACATATATATATATATATATCTTCGGTGCATCTGTGTCGTTTTCGTTTCATATTTTGCCGCGTACTTGATGCCTGTCGGTCATTTCCGGCTTCATTGTCGTGGTCGCGTCGAATATTTCTGCCATTTCCATGTCCGTATCCGTAGTTGCATCTGCCACATAATTGTTACATGTTCGGCTTCATGTTGTTCTAAATCTCAGCCATTTTGGTGGCGGAATTAATTGATGCATGTCCGGGGTCTTTGCTGTGGTTGTACCGGACATTTTCGGCATCACTTCCGGCTGCATAATTGACGCATTTCCGTGCTCGTATCGCCTATTTTCTGGTTTCATTCTGGGCGGTCCGTAATGACCGCTACAAAGACGGAAATGCAGCCGGAAATGACAGCAAAAAGCTGCTACAAGCACGGAAGTTAAGCCAGAAATCCCGATGATACGGACAGAAAATGTGGGAATGCATGTAGCATGCAGACAATCACCAACTCGGAGATGAGAAGGGGAAATAAAGACGGAACTGCCGGAAATGCATCAATCACACATGCAAAAAGGAAGCGTGATGGAGACCAAGGGATACATGAAGCCGGACATGCAACAATGAGGCAGCATCCCATGCGAATATGGACAGGAGCAAACAATGAAGGCAATACATTCAGTCATGCCCAGCCAGCAATCAATAGCTGATGCAAAAATGAGGTTGGATGGCATAAATACATTAACTCTACATCCCAAACAGCAGCTGCACGTCCGGTGCGAACACAAAAAGGAGCGGAAATGCATCACACTTGCAGCCAAAAAACACGAACAAAGGCCGGAAATTCTTAATCGGCATGAACAGGTGAAACGAATAAACACCAAGCCAAATAATAGTCGAGAACATGTGGCGCACGGAAAAGAGTGCCACAATGAAGTTGGGAATGAGGGACGCGCATGACTTCCACGCACAGAAATGAAGCCGGACATGACTGAGCCAAAGCGCAGATGAAGCCGGCAACAGAGACTGAGACCAACACAGCAAGTCAAGTGCAAACCACGGAAATCCATCGTTATGCAACCGCAAAAAAGTAACATGAGCAAGGGAACTAGGCAAATGCATCAATTTACATCCAAATCTGACACCGATAATAAGCGTCACGAGCGCGGAAAAAACACAGAAATGAAGTATCAAATGCATCGAATCCACAAAACAACACCGGAAATGACCGAGACCTGCAGCCGAAATGCCACATGTTGCAGCAGGCGAGCCGGAAACGAAAATGAAGGCGGGGCTAGCGGAAATGCAGAGTTATGAAGCCAAAACCGATGGAAACCTGCAAATGAAGTTGGACAGGACAAACATACATCAGTTCTGCAGTTCACCGGTACTCTCGCCCGGTAGGGGATGTCCAACAATGTTTATTGCGAGAGGGCTCTAGATTTGGGCTTCGCACAGCAGCGCTTTAGTTTATTCCTGAGGGGCTTTCAACTTTGGCTTTCCTTTTGTTTGGTATTTGTCTACCGTGTTATTCACCTTGTGTTAACTTGTTTCCATAGGAACAGACTCTGTAAGTTGAGGAGACTTGCACCCTTCCCTTGCCGGTTTTCGTCTTTTCACAATCGCCTCTCTTTTACCTTTCAGACCCTGTCAATTGTCAATCACCTTTGTTCAGAATGTTAAATGAAGTAGACCCAAAGCACCCTCAAGAACGTCACAAAACTCGACCGACATATCAGCATATGTGTGAACAGATCAGCATGTGCAATGTACGTGCACATTGCATGTACCGAATGGGTAATGGGAGTTTGCGCAACCGGTTTTGCAGATAGGGTGACTGGCAAAGTCCTACTCCCATCGAAGGATTCCTGCTAGCAGGTACTAGCCCCGTCACGCTACTGCCTCATGTGTTCGCAAGGTGGCGTTGTGCTTACTTGCAAGCAGTACTGCTTTCATTGCCCTTGCTATTTCTAATCTCTCACTTCTGTTCCGATCACTGCCTCCCCGAGCTACTGTGTCTCAAAACTCATTTCTATGCCTCTTCTTACTCGATGTGTCGTTTTTGCTATGCTGTCGACATAAACCAAGAATCTCACCAAGCCCCTAATGGCGGACGCATTGGCCCTTGAGCGCAATGTCCGAATTACACCGGTGCGAGCCTTGGCACTGCGCCTCGCGGCGACAGCGGCAAGATCTGGCCATGACAGCGCTAGAATTCGGGACCACGGGCTTTACGGGCCAGTACTTCGCACTGCAAGGGTTAAGATCCTTCTGACGGCACGAGGCAAATGATGATCACGCACAACATCATCATGCTTATGATGAAGAACCAAGAAGCTGTTGATGGTAGCAAGTTGGGTGATGGACTTTGTGATGGCTACGATGACCACGGTCAGGTCCGACGGGATGGAGAGATGATGGGCGACGAAGGTGAGAACGGGAACAGGGTGGGTACGGGACTGGTCCGAATGGTGGATGACGCTCATGACCATCCATCATCACCGCCACCGCCACCGCCACC